TCCTCTCTTCCCCCTTCATCGCCCCCGCGCTTTGCAACTGACTCGGAGGCGAGCCTGAGTGAGAGGGACGACGATGCAGTTCAGGACATAAACGACGAGGCCGTAGAGGAAGAAGACGACGGCGAAGACCTCTTCGCAGACAACCTCGACGCGTGCGTCGCGCGACTATGCCCGTATAGCCCTTTCTGACGCGTCTACATCAGTGACTATGCACAAAATGATGCGCTGGACACGTACGACATCGCCGACATTGACGATGCGGACCAGGAGGAGATCAGTGCCGCTGCAAGACGCGCTGCCGAAAGGAAGATGGCCCAACGCGATGCCTTGGAGCGCGCGGGTCGGACAGGAGGCCGCGCCGCCCGACGAGGACGCATGCATGGCTTCATAGACGAGGATGACCTTGCAGACGACGGCGATGTAGACGACGACGACATGGGAGTATCGCAAATGAAGCGGCGGACGAGGAGACAGTACGACGAGCGCAGGGATATTGACGATGCGGACGGCATAGAGGACGTGCGTGTTCTTCCTCCTCGCTTGCTCTCCCTCTCACAGACTCTGTAGGAAATTCCCCTGGAACAATTAAGCGACATCAAGGCGAAGTCTATCGTCGAATGGATTGCCAACGAGCGCGTCGCTCGGTCTATCATGCGCCATTTCCGTCAGTTCCTTATGACATATGTCGACGAGAACGGCTCCTCTGTGTACGGCATGCGCATTCGCAACCTGGGTGAAAGTGCGTGTCCATATATGCGCATACATGTATACTCTAACACGTCTAACAGCCAACGCCGAATCCCTGGAAGTCTCCTACCTGCATCTCGCCGAGTCCAAGCCCATCCTCGCGTACTTTCTGACGAACTGCCCAAGCTCAATGCTGGAACTGTTCGACCAGGTGGCGCTCGAAGCCATCCTCGTGTACTATCCCATGTACCGCCGCATCCACTCCGAGGTGCACGTCCGCGTCGCCGACCTGCCTTTGAGCTCGACTTTGCGCGACCTCCGCCGCGCCCATCTGAACAACCTCGTACGCGTCTCTGGTGTTGTCACGAGACGCAGTGGTGTGTTCCCGCAGTTGAAATACGTCAAATTCGACTGCAAGAAATGCGGCGCTGTCCTCGGTCCTTTCCATCAGGATGCCTCGCGCGAGCTCAGGATCAGCTATTGTCCGAACTGCGAGTCCAAAGGTCCGTTTACGGTCAACTCGGAACAAGTCAGTGAATATAAGCGCCTACTTGTCTCTATGCTGACGTCTTGCAGACGGTGTACAGGAACTACCAGAAGATGACTCTTCAAGAATCTCCGGGATCAGTGCCCGCCGGTCGCCTCCCCAGACACCGTGAAGTGATTCTGCTCTGGGATCTCATTGACAGCGCGAAGCCGGGCGAGGAAGTGGTACGCTCTTCGTGTATGCCATGCATGTCCTAGCCTCTGACTATGCCTATAGGAAATCACCGGAATCTATCGCAACAATTTCGACGCTTCGTTGAACTCCAAGAACGGTTTCCCAGTCTTCTCGACCGTCATCGAGGCGAACCATGTTAACAAGAAGGAGGATCTGTTCGCGGCTTTCCGGCTGACGGAAGAAGACGAGCGCGAGATGCGTAACTTATCTAAGGACGAGCGTATCCGCAAGCGTATTGTCAAATCCATTGCACCTTCAATCTACGGTCACGAAGACATCAAGACCGCGATCGCACTGTCGTTGTTTGGTGGCGTCTCCAAAGACCCAAACCACAAGCATCGAATTCGAGGCGACATCAATGTTCTCCTACTCGGCGATCCCGGAACTGCAAAGTCGCAATTCCTCAAATACGCCGAGAAGACGGCCCACCGCAGCGTATTCGCAACAGGCCAGGGCGCATCCGCTGTTGGTCTTACCGCCAGCGTACGCAAGGATCCCATCACGCGTGAATGGACGCTCGAAGGTGGTGCGCTCGTGCTAGCCGACAAGGGCACATGCCTCATAGACGAGTTCGACAAGATGAACGACGCGGATCGGACGTCCATTCACGAGGCGATGGAGCAACAGAGCATCTCGATCTCTAAAGCAGGCATAGTGACGACGCTACAGGCCCGTTGCGCCATCATCGCTGCAGCTAACCCGATCCGCGGACGGTACAACCCGACAGTGCCATTCCAGCAAAACGTGGAGCTGACGGAGCCGATCCTGTCTCGGTTCGACGTGCTTTGCGTTGTGAAGGATACGGTGGATCCAGTCATGGACGAGCTGTTGGCGCGTTTTGTGGTTGGCAGTCATTTGCGCAGTCATCCTGCATTCGAGCAAGCTACGGAAGAGATGGATGTCGCAACGTCGCTAGACGCGGATGTGAGTATCGTATCTTTTTTGCTTTGATGTGGTGTCCTTATTTTTCTCGCAGCTCATCCCGCAGGACATCCTGCGCAAATACATCATGTATGCGCGCGAAAAGATTCGGCCCAAGCTGTACGACGTTGACCAGGAGAAGCTGGCGCGCCTCTTCGCGGACCTACGCCGCGAATCGCTCGCGACAGGATCTTTCCCCATTACCGTGCGTCACCTGGAAAGCATGATCCGTATGGCGGAGGCGAGCGCGAAGATGGCGCTGCGTGAGTACGTGCGCGCGGACGACATTGATCTCGCGATCGAGGTGGCGGTCAACAGCTTCGTGAGCGCGCAGAAGATGAGCATCAAGAAGACTTTGCAGCGGGTGAGTGCCTATCTGTACACTTATGGGTAAAAATTGCTCACAATGCGGTACAGGGCTTCAGGAAGTACCTGACCCAGTCCAAAGACCACGAGGAACTATTGGCGTTCTTACTCGGAGGCATTGTCAAGGAGAAAGCGCGGTTCTACCAACTTCAGCGCCGGCAGCCGCCAGAGCTGGTCAGCGTCAAGGTGTCCGATCTCGAGGACAAGGTACGTCGGCGCCTCTGATGAGCTCTATCGACAGCTAACGCCGCCACAGGCAAAGGAGCACGACATCTACGACATTTCGCCGTTCTTGCATTCGAAGCTATTCACGACAAACGGGTACAAGCTGGCGAACGATGTTATCGAGAAACGCTTCAGGATAGACTGAGGCTCGTCCGCTGTCGACAAGGATCATTACTTATTGTGTTGCTGTTTTCATGCTTTGGGAATGTGTTTGGCTGTATTTTGTATTGCTGTCGAATGCCTATCTGTTGTAGACGAAGGATTCTCTGAGTTCATAGAACGCTCAGGATTGGACTTGGTTTTGGTATAGAACGATGATATGGCATGATGCATATAAACGCACCCACACGAGTAGAGATTAGCCGTCGTCCCCTCACAGACAAGGATAAACAACGCTTGCATATTGATCAGTAGGCTGAGAGTCACTCATTGCGGAGAGCTGGAACGAAATTACTTGAAAAGTTGAACATGCCCAGGCCCGAGTTCTTGGCCCCTTGTTGACCTAGGGTTTGATCCTCTGTAAGTTATAAACCCTTGGGTCAAGCCTTGTCAAGTCATTCTTGCGGCGAGAAAATGGAGCTCGGACGGCCTTGAGGCTTCCTCGAGAGCGGGGACAAGACTCGAAGGTCCTGATATTAGCAGAGGTGTAAGTAACACAACATTAGTGACCTCTAGAAGTCCACGTCGTCCGAATGGATGTTCCTGAACTTGCGTTCGGGCTCTGCAGGTGCTTCTGGCTCCTCGTCATCGTCGCCAATTTCTATAGCCATGTAAGCCACGCAAATATATGATGCACGTTAAGCACTCACCATCCGCGTAGACCTCAGGGTGCTCGCGGAAGCACTCCTGCATGGTCCTGAACGCGTCGACGCAGTTGATGCCCTTCGGCTCGTCCTCGGAGTACACGAAGCAGGAAAAGGCTGCCTTGAACTGCTCCCCGCACGGTCCCTGTGCCATGCCTCCGAGGCAGGGGCAGTCCCAGTTGATCTCGCCGGTGACCGGGTCGTACGCGCCACCGCTCGCCTGGGCCTCTTCAGCCTTTGCCTCTACGGTTGATTCCGCATCTCCCGAAGTCTCAGACGACTCAGAAGGTGGTGCAGACTCTTCGGAAGTGGATGCTGATGAGGGTTCCGCATCGGCGGGGAATGGAATCTCTTCAGGCGTGGCGTCAGATGCCGGTGCAACCTTGTCGGAGGCGGTCAGTGGTGGCTCAACTAGATTAAGCGTCAGTACGAGGTTGGGGATGGATAACAGAGCACGCACCGCTGTCGAGCGCTATCCTATCCGCCTGCAAGCGCCATGCCAAGTAAGACGCGGTCACTGCTGCACCGACGCCGTACGCGACGCGGCTGCGGGCCCAGGGCGCGCTAGCGGGAGCGGCGGAGGTGTGAATGCAGCGGCGGAGCGGGAGGCGCGTCAGACGGGCGAACATTCTTTTGGTGGTCGTAAGCAACAAACGGACAACCTCGGACAACTCACTCAAGTCCGGACTCCGCGCCGGGCGCTTCGTCAGCGATTAAATTGATGCCGATCGTTCTCGGTCCGACAGCCCGCAGGCCCTGAATGGCCTCTGCAGTCCACTGAAGTCCAAGCTGCAGTTGAGCTGCAGTCTGTCGCACTCTGTCTGATTCGGAGTCTGTCACCACGTCCTTGGGTTATTATTATGAAGTTGACGTTCAAAGTGGGGCGTAGGCAGTACAGTCTGTTGTACAGCCGTATCTTGTTGAGTTTAGTCTCAGCATCCCAAGTGGCATTTGCCCTGGCGGGCTTTGAAGCTCTTGAAGCTTGAAGCTTGAAGTTGTAGGTGGATTCGAACTGATCGCGGCGCGTGTGTCCACCAGTCTGCTATCTGTGATTCGGGATGGGCCCCAATGGACTTCCTACCCAACCTGAACACAGGCTGGCTAAATTACCGAGGCCGCGTGTGGAACGACGGTGACCCGCGTTCTCCTCAAGACCGCCAGAGACCGCCATTGCGCTCCTCCGAAAGCATACCAATAAGCAGACGTGCACGGCTCCGAAGACATGCACTGCTTCGTTGAATTGTGGTATGAGTAGGTCAAACAAAGTCGCATCTCAAGTCGGTATCGATTAGGGGTCAAATCACCTCGTTGTGGACTTACTTACGTAATCCCGAGGAGCCGCAAGTTCGAATCCTGCTACCGACACTTTTTGATTTCATTTTTACCAACCTTCTCGACTGACCCAACGCAACAAACCAACAAGAGCACAGAAAGACTCTCGATGCGCAAACACACGACTAGATGTGTGAGGAAGTTCCCCTTCATCTTTCTGCTGAAAGGCCCCCTGTGCCATGTCAATGTGGACCAATCATGCACGTATGGCGCGGCTCACAGCGCTCACCACTGGCCGCCATCTCGATTAACTGTCAGCTGGGTCACGATACTAGTAGCGGAGGCCATTGACAACGACTCTGACGCCAGTAACTGCAGATCGATGTTCGGAATGCTCAAGCGCTCACGCCCTTTGACTTCCGATCCTCCTGAGTCCTGTTCGCACTGCTGGCAGATCCCGTCCCACGCATGGCTCTGCTGGCGCGTTGGGCTCGACGTCCGCTGGCCCGACGCAGGGCATATAATATCTGCAATCTAACTCTAGTCACAGATGCAGAGTCTATGGCAAGTTCAGTTGGTCTTCGAGATGTCTCACTGTGCACTGGTGACTGGTCAGTGGCAGCAGTGGTCACAAGTCGACCTCTCCGACTGGGACTCGGGATAGACGCAACTTCGAAGCATTTCCTCTCATCTGATTTCCAAGCCGCTTGTGATGTCCAAGTTTCGTACGCTATCTGGGTCAAGTAGTACGCCCTGGACCCGGACGAGGAGATGCAATCATGCAATGTGGGCGCTCTTTCACCGGGCTTCGGCGAAATCTTGCACTTAGTCTTCAGGACCTCCGATAATATTCCCTTCCTACCATCGGAGGGTCACATCGCAGCGTTCCTCTTCGCTGGTCAGTGGTCCTCTTCACTGGGATCACCTCTGCAGGAAAAGCTTCGAGGTACCTTCGGCATCACAGCATTCTATCTGAATGCGCGAAGCAAAACCTTCTTCAACCTCACAATGCCGAGGCCCTGCTTCGCATCCGAAGACCCATATAAACCCTCTACAGATTCTCTACAGACCCAGGACCTCTGTACTGCTCCGCTGCCATCGGTCTTACAATGCGTTTCGTCAGCGTCCTCGCCACTGCCTCTTTCGCCGCCTCGGCGGTAGCGCACTGTGAGCATTCCACTTACGAGCTGGCGGTCAGAACTTACCAGCGTCCCAGACACGCTGCCCACCCTAGTCGTCGATGGCAAGGCATCGGGCGAGTGGGTCAACGTCCGCCGCACGAACAACTACAACTCGCAACAGCCGGTCAGTCTAAGTTGTCTCCAGTCTACGGCGCTGTTCTCTACATATCTCCATCGTCGCTAACCTCCTGCCCAGGTTCAAGACGTCACCTCCCCCGACATGACCTGCTACACTTCCGTGACGAAGGCCACCGCCACCACCGCCGAGGTCGCCGCCGGCTCCTCCGTCAGTATCAAAGCCAACGGCCCTATGGGCCACACCGGCATCGTCAACGTCTACATGGCCGACGCCGGCGGAAACGCCACCACCTACGACGGCTCCGGCCAGAAGTGGTTCAAGGTATACGACATTCCCCCCGTCACCGACGGCGGCAAATCGATCTCGTTCCCTGCCACAGGTGCGTGGATGTACCCGTCGCTTGCTGCCGTACTGTTCTCTATCCGGATGTTGTCTCGTAGGACTGCACTGCTGACTTTCGCGCCCGCTCGCCCTCCCGCAGACATCGACACCATCACCTTCACCATTCCCAAGAGCCTGCCGAGCGGGGAGTACCTCATCCGCGCGGAGCACGTCGCGCTGCACGCCGCTTCCAAGTTCGGTGGCGGTGAGATATTGGCGTAGCTCTCTCACAGCTGCAGTCGCTCACTAGCACTCCTGTCATCAGCCCAGTTTTACCTAAGCTGCGCTCAAGTCAAGGTCACCGGTGGTGGTAGCGGTTCGCCTAGCCCTCTGGTGTCTATCCCCGGGGTGTACACCGGCAACGAGCCAGGCCTCAAAATCAACATCTACTCCCGTGAGTTACCATATGTTGCCAACAGCGGTCGCTAACGAGGCTTCCTTCTCAGCTATCCCTGCCAACTACACCATGCCAGGCCCCGCCGTTTGGTCCGGGTGAGATGGCCCACAGCCCACACGATATCTACATTGAGATTCTGGCGGCCTTCGTGTCGGTGCAGGACGAAGGCGGGAACTTCTATATATAGAGGGACAACAGATAAATTACTGTTATACACTTGCATGTTCTGCCTAACGTGTGGCGCGACGGTGCGCTTCCGTCCCCCTGACGCCCTCTGCAGCCATGAGGTCGTTAAGACACCTGCGAGGTTCGTCTGTCAAGGATTGTTCGTAGTCGCAGTGCCCAAACTCACCTGGCCACAGTACCCGCCGCTTCTTGAACCTCCTGCCTGTCCGCACTCACGATATGCGGCACCAGCCGCTGGAAACGATCCGGATGCCAGCGCAGCTGAGCCCTCCGTATCCGCTCCTTCCTTGGCACATCTCGCGAGTGCGCCTCCGACAGTAAAAAGGCTGACACCTTCTCCGGCGTCACGTCCTCCGCGCGCGCCGGCGCGCGCTCTAGCGGCCACGGCACGCCCGCGAACCCGATGGCGTCCTCGTGCTTGAGGTGCGCCAGGCGCTTCCAGCCTGCCTCGTAAGCACGCCACGCCGCCTCAGTTCTCACCGTGTTGCGTACACGCTCCCTCCCATCGCGCTCCTCCGCGAATCGGCGGGCACGGTCCTCGCCCACCTGGGCGCGCTCGGCCTCGCGCCGCGCGCGGATGCGCGCCTCGACGCGGCGCGTCTGGTCGTGTAGCGTACGCTCCTTCTCGCGGGCGCGCGCGTCTGCCCGCAAGGCCTCCTCGTCGCGCATCCAGCGCTCCGCATCTCGTTCATACGCCCGCGCGAGGTCGTCCCATGCAGCTTCGTTCGCGACTTTAGGAGAGGTGACGCGGGAGTAGGGGTTTTCATGCGAGTGCGGCTTGGCGTGCCGGCGCTCCTGGTGCTGGCGGCGCCATTCGCTCTCCTCTGCGGCGACCGTCTGCTGCTCTCGCACCCAGTTCTCCGTGCTGCGAGGTATGGGTTGTGGTTCAGTATGTCGGCGAGTCTGAGGACTAACGTGCGGAATGGGGCGAGACGGTTGGGATGCTGGATGTGCTGACTCTTGCATAGGACGGGCAAAGTCGTCTATAGACGCCCGACGCCCATATTCATCCCGTCCGGCTGTTCGCGCATACAACGGCGGTATCGCATTCCAGGAAACGCTCTCTTTCCGCTCCCGCTCGTAGATGTCCTCCTTTCGAGACGGGCGTGCAGGCTCTGAGTAGTAGGGCGTGCTCCCCTTGTACGCATGCAGGTTCTCCTTCGAGTCGCGGGTTCGCGAGTTCTCCCTGCTGCTCCCGGCACGAGCCTGCTGCGTACTCCGGCTGCGCGAGCTCGGGCGCTGGTAGGCCAGATGTATGTGCCCGTCTGGCTTCACGCGCGCGAACGCCTCGGGTGTGGATCGTACGTACGCATCCGTCATCCCTGGGCGCGAGTACACGTCCGGAGCCGCTCGCGCATAGGAGTTCGGGGCCTCACGCCCGTAAAGCCCCTCCGCCATGGCCCGTCCATCGGATACCGAGCGCCCGTGCTTCCCGCGTAAATATGTCGCGTAGGCTGTTGAGCCCTCCGCGGTGGGTCGACTACGCGACGAGGAGCGAGGTTCGCAGTAGCAGTCCATCGTCCGAAATCGCGCGATGAGAGATCAGAGTCGGCGATGCAGAAGCGCTCGGCGATGCGGTTTTGGGCTCGCAGATGAAGATGATGAGGGCGTGAAGTGGCCTCGCGAGCTGGGAATCCCGCACGCAGGTTATACGTCGTCCAAATGACGGATCGCGGGACGGCCAGCGGGCGACGAACAATTGGTAGATGAAGAGGCAGCTGCGGAGGCGCGGGTCAAAAGTCGCGCCGCCTCTTCGCCTCCCGCCTGATGAACATACCTACACATTGAACCAACGTGGGCACCTGACACACCGGACGAGGCCTACAATACGCTATTCGCGCGCTTATCACTGATCAGGCGCCATATCGCAGAGGTTTGTGTCGAGCAGACACGCTGAGGCCTCATGTCTGCGTCTTCGGTTCTCGTGTCTGCGCGTACAAAGGACCCTTTAGACCGCCCTCGTGGATCCTTACTGCCTACGAAGATGAATCTTCCTGAGCCATATCAGTGCCCATCGAATCTGCAGACGTACAAAGGCACGCACCTGTTGGGGAGTCCCCGCGACTCGAAGACCCACCGGTATCACAAAACGCATCGCGCACGCAAGGCGGGCCACCAGAAACTCATGGTGCATAAACGAGGTATAGCTACATGAAGTTCTACAAGGGCATGGACTGTCGCCGCCGACACCTATCTACCTACACATCCTGCCCACCGTCCAACATCGGCATCACTGCCATCGGGTCATACTAGGCATAGAGGTGTACACGCATATATAGAGGGTAAGTCTGAGGCGACCGCGCGCATACATATAGCGAACAAGTGCGCGACCGCATACATCCCGTCCCGACCATCGCATACATCCACGCTACATCGCAAGCACTCGCGAGAATAAAAATGAGGGATAAATAAGGAGGGATCACAGCCGAGGGCTTGAAGCACGTCCGTCGGCAAGCATCGATCGAGGTGAGGTGGACATCGTAGGGAGGTGAGGCGGGCCCAGCTTGGCGAGGCCGGCCAATGGCTAGCAGAGGTCAAGCGCCAACTAGGTGTGTTATGCCGGTCATTGTCGAACATCGTGGGTGGCGGTGGATGCCCCTTGTTGAGGATATCAGATGAGGCCCGAGCAGGTGCGTCCCGCGCCAGCTGCGCGTGCGTCTCCCGCGCGCCTCGTCGCTTCTCCGCCTGCGACCCTCGCAGCGCGTCATGCAGAGTAGAAGCCCGAGTCACTGCTGTACGTCTCGCCCTTCGCCGCCTCGAGCCGGACCGAATCTACCGCAGAATGGTCAGCCGCCTGCGTTCGGGGGCCCGGGGCAGTCTTGGGCTACCAATTGGGGCACACACGTGCGTCCGGAATAGAACAATGCAA